GCCCGATTCGATTCAGGACGAGGAGACGGCAATGACGTGGCTCCGCGCCGCCACGGGCCTGGCCCGCCACGCCGCGCGGCGGGCGGCCCTCGCCCGCGCAGCCACCCCGGGCCACGCGGGCGCCCGATCCGCGGGGTTCCACACCTCGGCGCTCCGCCGCAGGGCCGCGGCGCCGGCCCCGCGGGCCGTCCCGCTCTCGAGGCTCACCGACAGCTTCCTCGACGGCACCAGCAGCGTGTACCTCGAGGAGCTGCAGCGCGCGTGGGAGGCGGACCCGGCCTCCGTCGACGAGTCGTGGGACAACTTCTTCCGCAACTTCCTCGGCCAGGCCGCGGGCTCCCCCGGCGCGGGCCTCTCCGGCCAGACCATCCAGGAGAGCATGCAGCTGCTCCTCCTCGTGCGCGCCTACCAGGTCAACGGCCACATGAAGGCGGCGCTCGACCCGCTCGGGCTCGACGACCGCGCCGTGCCCGAGGACCTCGACCTCGCCCTCTACGGCTTCACGGAGGCCGACCTCGACCGCGAGTTCTTCCTCGGGGTCTGGATGATGGCCGGCTTCCTCTCCGAGAACCGGCCGGTCCTCACCCTCCGCGAGATCCTCGGCAAGCTCGAGCGCGCCTACTGCGGGCCCATCGGCTTCGAGTACATGCACATCCCCGACCGCGACAAGTGCAACTGGCTCCGGGAGAAGATCGAGACCGTCGCGCCCAGGGAGTACCCCAAGGACCGCCGCCTCGTCATGCTCGACAGGCTCATCTGGAGCACCCAGTTCGAGAACTTCCTCGCCACCAAGTGGGCCACCGCCAAGCGCTTCGGCCTCGAGGGCGGCGAGACCCTCATCCCCGGCATGAAGGAGATGTTCGACCGGTCCGCCGATCTCGGCGTCGAGAACATTGTCATTGGCATGCCCCACAGGGGGAGGCTCAATGTGCTGGGGAACGTCGTCCGCAAGCCCTTGTCTCAGATATTCAGCGAGTTTGCTGGCGGGACGAGGCCTGTCGAAGGCGAGGATGGGCTCTATACTGGAACTGGTGATGTCAAGTACCATCTGGGTACCTCCTACGACCGGCCGACCCGTGGTGGCAAGAGGATCCACTTGTCGTTGGTCGCCAATCCCAGTCATCTGGAGGCCGTCGACCCTGTTGTCATTGGCAAGACGCGTGCAAAGCAGTTCTACTCCAATGATGATGACAGGACAAAGAACATGGGCATTCTTATTCATGGAGATGGTAGCTTTGCTGGGCAGGGCGTGGTGTATGAGACGCTCCATCTGAGTGCCCTTCCAAACTACACTACTGGAGGAACCATTCACATTGTTGTCAACAATCAAGTTGCCTTCACAACTGATCCAAGAGCCGGCAGGTCTTCCCAGTACTGCACGGATGTTGCCAAGGCCGTGAATGTCCCTATATTCCATGTTAATGGTGATGATCTGGAGGCTGTTGTACGTGTCTGCGAACTTGCAGCTGAGTGGCGCCAGACCTTCCATTCTGATGTGGTGGTCGACCTGATCTGCTACCGTCGTTTTGGACACAATGAAATTGATGAGCCATCCTTCACACAGCCAAAGATGTATCAGGTAATCCCCATGCTACTGAATCTGTGTATTTTGCATATGTCGTTGATCATTTCCACTTAGGTAGTTAGGTTTCTAACCAATGAAGTATACAGCTCAATGTTCATTCCTTTTTAGCCGCACCTGATTACCCTCTCTATCGTGTTCCTGTCCAATTCCTGTCTCTACCATGCTTGTGCTTTTATGCTGATATTGATGTTTTGTGCTTAGGTAGTTAGGTTTCTAATCAATAAAGTATACAGCTCAATGTTCATTCCTTTTTATCTGCACCTGATTACCCTCTCTATCGCTTTCCTGTCTCTATCATACTTGTGCTTTTATGCTGGTATTGATGCTTCAGCTCAATTCTCATTCCGTTTTAGCCGCATCTGATTACCCTCTATCTTGTTCGGTTGTTCCTGTCTCTATCATACTTGTGCATTTATGCTGATATTGATGCTTTGTGCTTCTAGCACCCTGTGGTTCACTGTTTCTGATGAAAATTATTCTTTGGCAGGTCATTAAGAACCATCCAAGTTCATTGAAGCTTTATGAACAGAAACTGCTTGAAACAGGTGAAGTCACTAAAGAAGATGTTCAGAGGATCCACGACAAAGTGAACCGAATCCTAAATGAAGAGTTCGCTAAAAGCAAAGATTATGTTCCCAACAAGAGGGATTGGCTCTCGGCTTACTGGACTGGCTTTAAGTCACCTGAGCAAATTTCACGTGTTCGCAACACCGGGTAACAGCATTTTTTGTGTTGATTATGCTTGTAGTTCATGTCTTCAACAGTTATGTCATCCATCATCATTGAAATGCTTGCTTTGCAGGGTTAAGCCAGAGGTACTGAAACGTGTTGGGCAAGCAATTACTACTCTGCCTGAAAGCTTCAAGCCCCACAGAGCAGTGAAGAAGATTTTTGAGCAGCGTGCTGCAATGATCGAGAGTGGTGAAGGTATTGATTGGGCTGTTGCCGAAGCCCTTGCCTTTGCAGCACTCATAGTTGAAGGCAACCATGTTAGGCTGAGTGGACAGGATGTGGAAAGGGGAACTTTTAGCCACCGGCATTCAGTTGTGCATGACCAGGAAACTGGGGCGAAATACTGCCCGCTCGATCATGTTGTGATGAATCAAAATGAGGAGCTGTTTACTGTTAGCAACAGGTAAGTCTGCTAATAGAACTACTCCCTCCGTCCCAAAATTATTGTTTTAGATTTGTCCAAATACGGATGTATCTAGTTACGTTTTAGTGTTAGATACATCTGTATCTAGACAAATCTAAGACAAGAATTTTGGGACGGAGGGAGTATTATTTATGTCATCCTAGTGACTGCTGTAATAATATCTGCACTTATTAAATTTGGAAGCTTATAAGATCGTTCTTGTTCCCCTGGTCCATAGACAAAAATGAAGAAACTATATCTGGTTCTGTAGGTTTATTTGGCCCATCTATGCTTTGAATATTGTTCAGCTTACCAGTAGAACAATAAGCTCTACTTTCCCTTGTCTTTAGACATGAATGAATGGATAAAAGTATCCATTATTTAGATAAGCTCTACTTTTGCTTATTGCCTCGAATCGCCCACTTAATTTTATTAACTTGCCACCTTTCATATGCAAACTTAGATTATTCCAGTTATATATAGTTTTGAGATGGCTCCTGTTTTACCTGTAACAAGTTTCAGTTTGAATAAGGGGAATTTGCTTTTTCTTGGGATTTGAGGACACGAATGTGCCTTTTGCAGTTCACTTTCGGAATTCGCTGTTCTTGGATTTGAATTGGGCTACTCCATGGAGAACCCGAATTCGCTAGTACTCTGGGAAGCTCAGTTTGGTGACTTCTCCAATGGTGCACAAGTGATGTTCGACCAGTTTCTGAGTAGTGGAGAGGCAAAATGGCTGCGTCAAACTGGCCTTGTTGTTCTACTGCCTCATGGTTATGATGGCCAAGGTCCTGAGCACTCCAGCTCCCGTTTGGAGCGCTTCCTTCAGGTAATTCACAGAACATACTTTTTTTCCCTTCTGTATCATGCAGCCAATTAGTCCTGTCCAGTCAGAAGCGTCTTGTTTTGCATCCTTGTTGTTTGCTAGTTCTCTAGCATGCTTTAGTTGTTTGTCGGTTTGAAATATCCAGTCACTATTCAAGAAAATACGGTTTGTTTTACAACTTTTGATAGCTAGCCATGTTATGGTGATGGTGGTCTTCGTTATTTGTGGATGAGTGGTATGATCGGTTCTTGAACGTTTGTTGCTTACCGGAGATTATCAATTTGCTTCACAGATGAGTGATGACAATCCTTTTGTCATACCTGAGATGGACTCAACACTTCGCAAGCAGATACAGGAGTGTAACTGGCAGGTTGTGAATGTGACAACCCCTGCAAACTATTTCCATGTGCTGCGTCGTCAGGTTAGTTTGTTTTCACTATGCCAAAATTTTGCCAGATGTCATCATGTAGCTACTAGCATGAAATAATCCTTATACTCTGTATGTGGGATCTAGATACATAGGGATTTCCGGAAACCACTGATTGTGACGGCCCCCAAGAACCTACTTCGTCATAAGGAGTGTAAATCCAACCTCTCTGAGTTTGATGATGTTGAAGGGCACCCAGGATTTGATAAGCAAGGAACACGTTTCAAGCGGCTGATAAAGGACCGTAACGATCACAAGGAAGTCGAGGAGGGTATCAACCGCCTTGTATTATGTTCTGGAAAGGTATGTGTTCCCTTTTAGCACAAAATCAAGCTAAACAAATTACCAGTTGAGTGCAGATATGAACTCCCTTTTTGAAATCGTCATATTGCAGGTGTATTATGAACTTGACGATGAGCGGAAAAAGTCCGAGCGCAGTGATGTTGCCATCTGCAGGGTTGAGCAACTTTCCCCATTCCCATACGACCTTATCCAGAGAGAGCTAAAAAGATATCCAAGTATGAATCCTTCTCCTCAAAAATCCAATCCATTGTTTTTGTGAATGCCTGCATTTGCCATGTTTTTCAGTAGTTCCCCTTGTCTGTGGTGGCATTGCTTATTTCACAGCGAGCTTTGGTTTTGTTGCACCTGTATTGTTATTACCGGTATGCTTGTAGAGAGCAGCATAGTCAGTTTTGGCACCTGTGGATGGTACCACACCTCACTGGGCTGGTGTCCTGAATCCTGATATGTACTAGCTGATTGTTCACAGTAGATGCTGCTGGATTGCTAGCAGTTGTTGCTGTCCAAATTTTTATGCTGCATTTTTCTCTCGGGTATATTTAGTTGTACGGCTGTTCATGTTCGCGCTATCTAACACAGATGCGGAGATCGTGTGGTGCCAAGAGGAGCCGATGAACATGGGCGCATACAGCTACATCTCACCCCGCCTCTACTCGGCCATGAAGACCCTCGGGCGCGGCACTTTTGAGGACATCAAGTACGTGGGCAGGGCGCCCTCGGCCGCCACAGCCACCGGCTTCTTGACGGTCCACGTGCAGGAGCAGTCGGAGCTGGTGAAGAAGGCATTGCAACCGGAGCCGATCAAGTTCCCCTGATGCGGGAAACCCTCGCAAAAATAACCCTTTCGCAGGCTCGGGTTGTCCAGCCTTTGCACACACCGTCTTAAAAGTTTTGGCCTGTACAAGTTCTTTTTTGCTCTCTCTCTTTCGTTCTTCTGTGAGGCGTTTCGCTCCGAAGGTCGCGAATAATCAACTCTTATATGAACCGTCTTGCTGTTGGGGAGGCGTGAGCCCTGTCTCAGCAACATTCCTGAATCGTTATGATAGTTTTTGCTGACAGTATGGCACTACCTTTTATCGTATTCTTCCACTGATGGTGCTGAAAGCAGATTAAAACGATAGCGAGTCGTTATTTCCTTCCATCATCTTACGACCAGAACACCAGCAATTTCAACGGAAATACGATACTGAACCGCAGAAAAACAAGTATTTTTTGTCAACTGTCAGGCCACCTCCCAAGCAGCAGCATCCATCCTTACAATATCTACCTTCCCCTTGGATCCAATATCTGTGAGAAGACCCTTGTTGCCACCCCAGCGTCCGCACCATCTTCAGCATCGCCGTCCACCGGACGAACCCTGCCCGGAAGCCCCTGCCCGCCGTACGCAATGCTGCTGCTCCCCTCTCCGCCGGTGCTCAGGAACGCCTCCTGCAGCCGGAGCGCGCGCTCCAGGCTCCACAGCACGTCGCCCATCGCCGGCCGATCGGCGCCGTACTCCGCGAGGCACTTCTCCGCGGTCTCGCCGAACTTGCGCAGCGAGGCGGCGCCGACGCCACCCGCGAGACACGGGTCCATCACCCTCTCCAGCTCGCCGAGCCTCTGCCGCGGCATCGCCCAGTCCACGAGGCTCGCCTGCTCGCGGGGCAGCGCCGGGTCGACGGCCGGCCTGGCGCAGAGCACCTCCAGGAGCACCACGCCGAACGAGTACACGTCCGACTTGTCCGTCAGCGTCTGCCGCCTCAGGTAGTCCGGGTCCAGGTACCCGAAGCTGCCTTTCACCGTGGCGGTGCCGACGTCGTGGTCGGCGGCCGGCGCCGGCATCGAGAGCCCGAAGTCGGAGACCTTGGCGGAGAGCGCGCCGTCGAGGAGGATGTTGGTGGTCTTCACGTCCCGGTGGATGATCGTCTCGGAGACGCCGGTATGAAGGTAGTGCAGGCCCTTGGCCGCCCCGACGCAGGCCTCCAGCCGCTGCTTCCACGACAGCGGCCGGAGCGCGGCGGGCGCGCCGTAGAGGTGGCTCCGGAGCGGCCCGCCGGCCATGAACTCGTAGACCAGCGCCATCTCGTTGTCCTCGTGGCAGTACCCGATGAGGGACACCAGGTGGCGGTGCCGGAGCCTGGACAGCATCTCGATCTCCGTGCGGAACTCCTGCAGGCCCTGCTGCGACCGCGGGTTCCCGCGCTTCACGGCCACCGCCGTGCCGTTCTCCAGGACCCCCCTGTACACCTTGCCGAACCCGCCGACGCCGACCACCCGGCCCTCGTCGAAGTCGCCGGTCGCCCGCCGTATCTGGCCGATGCTGAGGGACGGCCCCGAGGGTGGGCGGCTGTGGCTTCTAGTAGCGGCTGAGACCTTGGACGCGGAGACGCCGGTGTGCGTGTGGAGGCCTATGGAGGAGGACGGCGGCCGGCTGAGGGACCGCCGTTGTTTCTTACCCCGCCGGCGGTGCCTGAGGAGCAGCAGCGTCCCCGCGATGCAGATGGCGATGAGCGTTGCTCCGCCGGCGGTTGCGGCGGTGACAACCGCAATCTTCTTCTTGCGCGCGGCCTTCGATGTCTGAGCGGTGTTGAGGGCGTCGACACGGCGCACCGCCTCCCGGTCACCGAGCTTCATGATCTCGACGCCATTGAGGATGGCATTCGGCTTCGAGTATGACAGACGAGGCGGCCCAAGCTGCAGCAAGATTTTCTCGGACCCTGGCGGTGCATCGGCGATGAAGTCCACGAAGTAGGCGTTGAACAGCCCGAGCTTGCCGGACAGATCGAAGGAGCTGAGCACGGCGTCGCCGTTGATGTAGACGTCGAAGACCAGGTCGGTGGAGTTGCGGCCGACGATGTCGCAGAGGTGCAGCCTGACGGAGTAGCGGAAGCCCGGGTCGACGGGGAACGCCCAGGAGAGGTTGAACCGCTGGTTGCCCACGCCGGCGTCGGCCATCTCCTGCGCGTCGGCGTACACCGCGGCCGGAGCGGCGTACGGCGGGGCGCCCCCCGCGGGGTAGCGGACGCTGGCCGGGTCGACGGAGACGGAGCGCGCGGCCGCGGGGTTGAGGAGGTACGCGGCGTCCCCCTCCCACAGCCTCCAGAAGGAGTCGTTGAGCGAGACCTCCCCGCTCGCCGCGCCGGCATTGACGCGGTAGCAGGTCTGGGCGAGCCGGAAAGGCTCCGGCGGGCTGAGCGGGAGCGGGAGCAGGGCGTCCGGCGCCGGGAGGAGCTCGACGGCGCTGAGGAGAGCGAGGGAGCCCGGGCGCGGCGAGACGCGGAGGCGCAGGAGCCCGCCGCCGCGGTGCGGCAGCAGGTACTCGCGGTAGCGGTGGCGGCCCGTGGTTGCACGAGAGGCCGGACGGGCGCCGGAGACGAGCTCGAGGTCGCCCGCGGCGACGGCGAACTGCGCGGGCTGGGGGAAGTGGAGGCGGAGGAGGAGGTGGCGGTGGGGCGAGCGGGGGACGGGGAGGGAGTAGGTGGCCTCGGCGGAGAAGGCGCGCGCCGTGGAGTAGAGCGGCGAGGACGCCGTGGTGGTGGTGGCGCGGGAGGCGTGGGCCGGTGAGATGGAGACATTGGAGTCCGGGAGGAAGACGCGGCCGTCGGGGAGGGTGATGGCGGCTGGCGCGCCGCACGCGAGGAGGAGAGGGTCGCCGGCGACCACCACCGCCACCGCAAGGTGGGAGAGCAGGAGGAGGACCAGACCGCCGCCGGCGGCGGCGTCGGTGGTGGTAGCGGCCATGGCGCAATCTCTTGCTCACTCACTGAAGCTCGGTGCCACTGAGCTGGACTGCAATGGGGAGCCAGGGGACATGGAGTTGGGCCAAACTCAAAGCCCATAACCAGGCCCAGACCGAGCCCAACCCAACAAAAAGAGTGGGAGCGAGATGGTGGCCCGGGCGACCCAGCAGGCCAGCACCACCATGCCGCCCCTGGCCGCCGCCGACGCCTTCCGCGTGCTCGAGTTCGTCGCCGGCAACCGCCGCGTCCCCCACTCCCTCTTCGCCGGCCTGCTCGCCGCCCTCCCGCCCGTCTCCCCGCACACCTCCCCGCGCCTGCGCAAGGCCGTCGCGCTCCGCGCCCTCGACGCCGCCCTGTCGGGCTCTGACGCCGACGGCTCCGGCGAGCTCCTCCGCAAGGCGCGCGACGTCCTCGCCGACCCTGCCATCGCGGTCTGCTTCCCCGAGCACCTCGCCGCCGTCGGAGATGACGTGGCCGCGCTCAGGCGCCTCGTCGACGCCGAGTGGGAGAGCCTCCCTCCCTCTGCGCTCGAGCTCGAAGCCGACCGGATCGCCGGCGCCGGAGCCCTCGACACGTGGGCCAACGCCGACCACGACAAACGCAAGAAGCTTCGCCGGCTGGGTGAGCGCCGCATGCCCTTTCCTTCCTATCCAGATCTCATTGAGAATTTCGAGATCTCAGAATTTCCATGGTTCATGTTGAGCGAACCTCCTCCGACTCTGGGTTCTGAACTTCTGATCTTGTTTTGATATAGCTAGAAAAAAATTACATCTCAAGTAACGCAATTTTGTTGGTTGATGCAGTGGGGGAGGCGACGGAGCGTGAGATTTTGGGCAAGCTTGGGCAAGATCCATCCAAGGCTCCTCAAGTTGATGAGGCGGCCAATGCGCCCAGCACAAGCGGCGCGAACGAGGGTGATCGTGCTCAGCAAGATGATGAAGCTCATCTTGGTAGGGAAAAAGGAGAAGCTAACCATGCCCAAGAGGATTGCGCTCGACATCAACAAGAGCCAGTAGAAAGAACAACAGATGCTCGGGTTCCTGAAAAGCCGGTAACAAGCGCAGCAGTCAAAGGCAAGGAGCAAGCTACGTCTTCTCATGTCACTGGACAGGCTGCCCCTGACCATAACAAGAGCCATCCAGTAGCTGGTTCTAAGCCTAGTCTTATGGAGAGGAAACCTAGTGCAATCGTTTATCAGGTGATTTCACGTTGGCTTTTATTGATGTTCTGTTAAAGATCTGATGCTGCGAGGCTTATGGGTATTTAAATTGCTCGATAGCGTTCCAATTTCACTCAGCTTCTAGCAACTTTGGTGTGGGGCTGTGGGCAATATATCAGCTTTCTTAGCTCTTTATCTTTGAGGATAATAAAAACCCAACATTTTGGCATAAATCCTGTCATAGTTATTCATGAATAAGTTTGATCGTACAGGAGGAATGAGTTCTATGTATGATCTACTTGTATGATGTTAGGTCATATTGTTACTCTCATCACTTTGTTAATATGTCATGCTCCTATTTTGATGTTCTCTGCAAAGGGCGGTGTAGGGATCTCATATCTATTTTCTCAAAGTAAACCCCTGGTATTGTTAGAAAGTACAAATTTAGATAATCACATAAATGCCCGACCACAGATTTGAGTTACAGACTTCCCACCATCTGCAACAAAAACGCTTGCTGAAAATGCACATTTAAATTTGGCAGTTTAACTCTGCTAGAAGACACAAGAAAATCCAGTTTAGTATTGATCGTCTTCAACGTTATTTTTTGGGTTGCATGGGGTGCAGTATTCCTGATCGTATGCTGTCATCTTGTAAATGCAGTGGGATGATTCTGGCGACTCCGACTCTGAAAGGCCGCCACATCAGCGCCGGTTACCGACTTACGAAAGGAAGATGAGGCCCCCGCCCGCAATTCCACACAAAACAAGAAAGAAATGGACCGAGATACAAGAGAGAACCCTGATTGAAGGGGTTGCCAAGTACGCTGTCTTCTCTCGCTCTTACTTTTCACATCGAAAACAGAGCTCTCCTAGAGAAACCTTTGCCTCACTTCTTCCTGATGGTGTGTTCATTCATTCATCCATTCTTTCATTCACTCATATAATTTCATCTGCTGCTGCTGAAGGTACGGAAGAGGCAACTGGAAGGACATCAAGATCGCCTACCCGGACGTGTTTCAAGACAGATCGACGGTACGTATTCCTCGGTTCCTGTACGTGGCCCTTCGCTTCGGTGACACGGTCTGCCTTTGGGTTTGTACCATGTCTGAGGCTGAAATGACGGTTCCTGTGCGCAGGTCGATATGAAGGACAAGTTCAGGAACTTGGGGAGGCACTAACAGCGAATGTGCTTGGACATGGAGGGCCATTCGGCCAAGTAGACATCTCCGGCACATATAGTAGGCGAATGTATGTAGATTATAGAGCGGCAAATTGCCATGGCGCAAAGGGCATGAGATATCTTGCCCTTTTGGTTTGTGGCAACCCTACCAGCAGGTGTGGTGTGAGGGAGACCCCAGCACAGCACCTTTCTCTTGTACAGGGAGATGTGGGCAATCTCTGCTAGCCATGATCTGAAGTTCTCTGTAAGTAAGTAACTAACTGATGAGGTGTGTGATTATGATGATGATGATGATGCCTGTGCCATTCTTCTTCTTCTTCTGTCTGCATCATCCATCTGGTGCATACTGTGAGTAGCATCTTTTCTTTGTCGTTAATGTCACTGATGCCAAGTCTTGTTTTTTGGAGGACTAGCAGACGTCTGTGTCCGGTGGGTGGGCCGGTGTCGGTTTGGCGGATTTGATAGATCCAATCCACCTCTCTGACTGGCACAAATGCATCTCACTTAGTTAATACTGTACGTGGATGCAGATTAGTAGTTAAGCATGAGAAAGGGATGGCAATGGCATGAGAGAGCTGAGGACGCATGTGATGTATACCTTACGTCTCTGTCTGTTTGCTCATGTTGTTACAGTTAGTTGTACCAAACCCAAACGGTCTAGAACTCTAGATCGTCCGTGCAGGTGCACTGCAGCATTAACGGACATGCAGCCGCAGAAGGAAAATAAATTTGTTTTATGTTTGTTTGTGTATGCATGTGGGTCCAAAATCAATGATTCTGTAATAGGGTCCGCCCTGCGTGGCTGATTCTGTAACAGTTTATCTAATTCACATTTAGATGTTTTTTATGGATGTCACATCTAAGCTCCCACAAATATATAATGCAGCAACAAGAAACAAAAAAAAACTAGGACAAAAAAAAGAGAGACCACAAACAAAGTGGACATCAGCTTCTAGATGTGTCCTAGACAGGCCCATTATGTAATGAAAGATTATAAAAGAACTTGTTAGTTAATTATCTTTCTCAAGTTGGGCAAGAATCAAAGATTGAGTTTTAGATATTTACGAGCATTGGGTTTTTATCATGCGGAATGTTTATCAAGATTATTACAGCATGACTGAACCCATCTACTTCTTTAGAGAGATAATATATAACCTTTTCATTATGATGAATGCACCTTCGAAGATTTTGGTTGAAATTCTTTTGGTGATGCTTAAATTTATTCATTGTCTCCTTGAGCTCGTCTTCCTGTTGATAAATACTAAATGTATCTATTTTTTCATTAATGACTTGTTCAACAGGTTTACCTTTTTCTTGAATAACCTTCTTAAATTCCTTCATGTCTTCAACATGATAGATTTTTCCAGTATGCTTAACGGTTCCTCAATATTCTATTGTTCCTTAGCAGCGGTCACAATACTTTCCATGAGTGCTTTTCCTTCTTCAAGAGTTAGAGCCATGAATCGCCCACCTGCACTCAAATCAAGAGTAGACTTGGATTCATCGTTAATGCCATGATAGAACATATGGAGTATAACATATTCAGCAAAACCATTGTCAGACAAAGATTCAGAAATTTAGAATATCTCTCCCAGGTTGCATACAAACTTTCTACCACTTCTTGAGCGAAGGAAGTAAGATTTCTTCGTTGTTTGGTAATCTTGGATCCAGGGAGGAGTTTAGCCATGAACCTCTCTGCACACATTTTTCCAACTGGTTATGCGGCCATATGGCAATCGAGTGTACCATATTTCCGCATCATCCTTGAGAGAAAAATTGAAGAGTCTCATTAAAACAAATTCTCAAGATGCATCTTTCATTTTAAAAGTCCCACATAAAGTATCAAAGAACATAAGATGTGCTTGAGGGTCCCCCTCTTCAGTCCCTGCAAAGGCACGCCTTTTGACTTCCTTAATAAGATCACAGTTAGTCGAATACTCGGTTGCATAATTGGTAGGATATACTATGGGAGATCTTGAGCCCAAGAACGGAGCACAATACTCTCTCACTGATGTATCTTGTTGTTGAGTGATCGATATTTCTACAAACAAAGTATTAAGCTCAGTAGTCGGACTTTTAAAATGAAGCTTGTTACTCCTGAGGAAACGGAAAATGTATTTAGGTAGATAAGTCTTCCCTAGAACGAGTAGAGCCCTTGTCACCAACATGAAGCATCATCTACAATAACAACACCTGCAAAACAGTTACGAAACAAATACTCTACACTTAGATCCTCGGCAACAGCGATAAAATATGCTTGATAACTTGCAAACCAAACGTGGTGGTGTAGCACTTTGACATAAATATCCCAAATAGTAATCGTCCCAACGAAGAGTAGAGGCGAATATTTATAAGTAGTGTTTTTGTCACACACAAGTTGTCACAGTTCTTATGTGTAGCAACTGCTTGTGACTTCGCCGACGTTGTCAGTGTCCCAAGATGCAAATGAACCAGAGTAGTAAATATGATGAGTTTGTGGCGACAAGAGTAATAACACTTGAAAGTAAAGAACACAGATATAACGAAAAGTAGAGATGTTTTTCCTACAATGGAGAAATTAGGAGTGGAGACAATTCAGTTCATGATATACATCAAGTGTGCCAGTGATATACATCAAGTGTGCCAGTGCGACAGTAATACCAGTTACCTTGTATCATGGATACAGTACTTGATTTATTTGTTCAGTTGGCAGATCATCCTAAGGTTATGGATCTCCTCCTCACCGGATTATATTCCATTCTATGGTCCTGCTTCACCGTTGCCACAGAGGGGTTGTCTCCATAATTAAGGTCATTAGACCGAAACCAAGCATTAACTCCGGTCTTGAAAACCGGTATAGTTCTAGGAACTATCAAGGGTTCGAATCCCTCTCTGTCATTTTGCTTATTGGATACGCTTGTTTCTTTCATTTTTCAGCTTCCTCCGACGACACCACTTTTACTCTCTGTCGGAATCTGTAGACATAGTTTCTGGGCATCTTTAAAAACTGATCGACTTAGTTGTTACACACAAACCTGCGCAACGGCTTGGGAGTAAAAGAATTTCCTGCCTGGATTATATTCCATTTTATGGTCCTGCTTTGCCGTTGCCACAGAGTGGTCGTCTCCACAATTAAGGTCATTAGACCGGAACCAAGCATTACGTTTAATGGATCATCGTTGTCTCATGTTGTCTTCGGTCCTCATAGATGTCTTCACCTATCACGTCGGAGGTCGCTGATTTCCTAAACAATATGTGTTACCTGTGTAGGTCTTGAGATCATGCTGCTTGGGCCCTTAAATTGGGTACAACACACATAGAGTTCGCCATAGAATAAGAACTTACTATACAGATCATAAGACTACAAACACGAATGATGACATATAGAATATGCACAAATGAATCTTACCACTCACCTACATCTCCTACGCTTAGGGGGAACTACTCACACATCTCAGAGAATAACCAATCATCTCAGAGAATGAACCAATGAAAACCATATCAATAATACCGTGAAGATCCACAATAAGATGAATAATCAAACAAGTCTCGATCTCCAGATGAGTATGAATAGAGTTTACAACCCGATCTTACAACTTGGAGTTTGTCTTACAATAGTGAAGGTGGAATTGACGACTGAGATGAAAGGACCAAAACTAAGAAGATCTCCGGTGGTTCTCCGGATCTCTTCTCTTTATGTTCTGGATGTAGTGGCGGCGGCTAGGGTTCTTCGCAGAAGTTTCTTGTGCTGGTAAGGTGGAGCCCCAAGCACTTCATATCACCATCCATGAGAGCATGCTCGCTCGTATGGAAGGCTGTCTTTTACTCGGGTGCGCCTGGTGGTCGAGTCTCCAATACGGGAGTTGCTGCATTTGGCTTGATTTTGCAGTAATTCTCCTTGATTTTCTTCCATATATGATATTTCCTGCCAAACAATGAAAAACCCGTTTTTCTTCTCACTTGAAATGTTAGCGTTAGAAATTACCGAGAAGTGATATAATTCCGGTGAAAACCAAATGAAAACCCCTTGCAAATAATCTTAAATTCTTGAGCCATCATGAATGTGATCATATATAGGCATTACGTCCAAATACTATGAAACCGAGATCCTCTATGCACCTAATCTAATAGCTAAATAGCGTGTCCACAGATCGAGATCCTCTCTGCACCATCTAGACTTTAAGTGTACACAAGGGTAATTGCACTTAGCAAGATGACATACTGTTATGAAATGGGGACTATGAATTATCTACTAAACCATAACCCTTAGTGGCAATAATTCAATGCAAGCCTTCTTCACTTTCTGCCACCACAGTAGATTGATTGCAAGATTGAACCCAACTAATGCACATCTCTTCCACTATTGATTCACTAAAAAAAATCTGTGATAATGCGTGTTTGTCACAGTAGGTCACGTTTTCTGTCACGCATGTACATCCGTGATGATTTTATGACATAATCAAGAAAGCCATACTTGTGCTGTCACGAAAGTGTTCCATGACAATACTCAATTTATTGTCATAGAAGTGTTTACTTTCGTGATGATAAATGGCGCGTCAAGGAAGTGTTTTCGTCAAGGGTAATCAACACGTGGCATCCACCATAATGGTTCGTCGTTAAGCTATTGGGTACCGATTTTGGATCCAATACCCGTTAACAGCCCCGACCAATGACAATTTTCCACGTGTCAAATTCTCATTCATCAACAGGAACACGTGTCAACATGGTGTTGCGATAGTTGCATCCGTCCAATGGACAGGACGCGCCAATGAAACGTTGACACGTGGAATGGCTTAACAGCAGCCCATTTAGGTTAAAAGGGCTGGCCCAACCAATGGCCCACAAAATTTGGTCAGATACTAGTGGGCCGACCCATTAACAACCTGCCATGTCTTTGGGCCAAATTACGTCCCATATGAAGATCCGGCCCATAAACAATCCATTATGTTTTTGGGCCTAATGAAGGCCCGGTTTGTCTTTCGGCCTGTGTAAAGGCCCATTGAACAGTCTGACCTACTT